GAAAACGTGTGACTACCAGGCACTGCATCACCCAAACCACACAAGTCTTTTATTCTTTGTTCATAGGGGAGACTATAGGAAGAGATTTTTTCTTTTTATTGAAGTGACACTGGAAGATATTTTTTTAATGTTTTTATCGATTTTAAAATAATATATATCTTTATTGATTTTAGAGAGAGGAAGGGAGAGGGAGAGACAGAAACATCAATGATGAGAGTCATTGATCGACTGCCTCCTGTACACCCCCAACTGGGGATCGAGCCCACAACCTGGGCATGTGCCTTGACCAGGAATCGAACTTCGATCTCCTGGATCATAAGTTGATGCTCAGCCACTGAGCCACGCCCGGCCGGCATTAGAGAGAGAGGAAGGGAGAGGGATAGAGAGATAGAAACATCGATGAGAAAGAAACATCACCGATAGGCTGCCTCCTGCACGACCATACTAGGGATTGAGCTTGCAACCCAGACATGTGCCCTGACCTGGAATCGAACTGTGACCTCTTGGTTCCTGGGTCAATGCTCAACCACTGAGCCACACCTGGCCGGGCTGGAAGAGATTTTAAACATCTTTCTCTTTAGATTTTTACCTTCTCAATATACCTTTCCTGTTGATATGATTATTCTTCTTTACCTGAAACTTATATTCCTGTCCTTCACACACTAGCTAATATTGCTTACAGAAGAACATAATGAACTCCTTAATGTGACCTTCAGGGCCCCACAGTCTGGCCTTAGCCTATGTTTCCAACTTCTGTGTGATTACGCTTCATCTCAAATTGGATACTCTTGCCAGACTCAATTATTCACCTAATTCATCATGTATCTTCATTTGCTCACTCATTCATTTATTTCATTCATATACTCCACACTTGCTTACTATATGCCAGAAACTTTGCTAGGTGTTAGGGATTACAGACTTTAAAATTGCACAGACTTGTTTGCATTTGTCAGGAATGAGCCCAACATAACAAAAAAAAAGCAAACAGAGATGAGATTTAAAAAAGAAGAAGAGTGAGTCCCAGGGGTGCTGAATGTCTGTCCCAGTCCTTGAGGTCATGGTTCCTGATGTGATTCCTTCACTTCCACAAGTGACTGTCAACATCTCAGCCACCTGAGCCAATGAATCCCAACTTGGCATTAGCGAGTTTGACTGGAACAGCTGCTATTTTCAGTTGAAACAATCCTGCCACATTAAGAGCTCTGCTGTACATGGTAAGGCAGTGGGAGCTACACAGAATTTTTAAAATGCAAAATGTTTTAAAATGGATCAAAATGCTTTAAAGGCTCAAGAGAACATTCAAAGCGCAGTTCCAGTGGACTGTACAGAAGATGGATTCAGGGGAGACCATTTAGGCACCTCTTCTGCTATTTAAGAATTTCCTCCTTCATCCTTAGAGAATTTCTGACTACTGAAATATTCACCAAGGCCCAGCTCACCTGGCGCCTCTTGTTTTGTGTCTTTCTGATCTCACTCGGTTGGCATGAATGGCCCTTTGTTCTGCATTCCTGCAGCACTGCACTTGTACCTCTGACACTACAGTGCACCAGAATCACTTTGAGGGCTTGTTAACAGTGGATTGCTGGGTCACACCCTGAGAGCTTCTGATCCAGTAGCTCTAGAGTGGGAGCCAAGAATTCCAAGTTCCAGGTGATGCAGATGCTACTGCTCTGGGGGGCCCACTTTGAGAACCACTGCTCTAACACATTTCATTGTAGCAGTATTCTAGACTGCTTGCTCATCAGTATCCCCCGCTAGATTGAAAGTTCCTGAAGGCCTTTCTAATTTATCTTTGTAAAACTCTCAGAAGCTTACATAATGTATTACACAAAAGTGGTATCTGATATGCATTACTGTGTGACTAGCTGTGGCGATAAGAGGAAAAACTTACCATAATAAATTCCCTCAGTTAACACCCAGATTCCCTCAAAAAAAAAAAAAAAAGAACTGCGTAACTAGAGAAGAGATTGAAAAGCAGAATACATCTTGACTTCTTTGGGGTTGCCTAATTTGGATTACACCCTCTATCTAATTTCTTTTAATCCTTGGACACAAAAGACAATGATTAGTTTCAAATATGAAATGTTTGCTACGCAGGACCCTAGAGAAGACTAGCCTTTTTTTTGCCTCCTGCATGTGTTTCTATTTCTTCTTGATTTAGCTGTCATTTGACAGCCCAAGGGAAAATAACATTTCAAGCATTTTTCATCCCAATATTTAGAAATGCTGATCAAACTAACTTTTGTAGTTGTTCTTATGGCAAGACATTCTGTCCCTTTAGGCAATGTTGCCTTATAGTTATTTAAAAGCACCTGGGAATAAATTTAAATGAGAAGGTGAAAGCTACAATACATTGAATAGGACATACATAAATGGAAAAATATTCCACACTTGTGGATTGGAACAACTGATATTGTTAAAAAGTCGACACTGCCTAAAGAAATCTACAGATGCAATGCAATCCACATCAAAATTCCCATGGCACCCTGGCCGGTGTGGCTCAGCTGGTTGGGCATCGTCTCAGGCACCAAAGGGTTGCCAGTTCCATTCCTAGCTGGGGCACATGCCTGGATTGCCAATCAATGTTTCACTCTAGCATCAATGTTTCTCTCTCTCTGCCTTCCTCTCTCTCTAGGATCAATAAAAACACACACATATCCTCAGGTAAGGATTAAAAAAAAAATTCCAATGGCATTTTTCACAGAAATTTTTAAAAAAATCCATAATTTGTATGGAAACACAAAAGACCCTGAAGCCAAAGCAGTCTTGAGAAATAACAACAAAGTTGGAAGTATCATACTTCCTGATTTCAAACTATATAATAAAAACAGTACAGTATTATAAAAACCAGTATGGGTATTGGTAAAAAAACAGACAAATAGGTCAATGGAACAGAATAGAGAGCCCAGAAATAAACCCGCCCATATACGGTCAATTAATTTACAACAAAGAGTCAAGAATATACAATGGGGAAAGCAAAAGTTCTTCAATAGATGATGTTGGGGAAGCTGGATAGCCACACGCAAAAGAACAAAACTAGACTAATATTTTGCATCATACACAAAGTTAATTCAAAGTGAATTAAAGACCTAAAACCATAAAACTCCTAGAAAAAAATACAGGCAGTAAGCTCTCTCACATTGGTCTTGGCGATGATTTTTTGGAGGTGACACCAAAAGAAATGGCAACAACAACAAAAAAGAAGCAAGGGAAACTACATCAAACTAAAAAGCTTCTGCACTGCAAAGGAAACCATCAACAAAATGAAAAGGCAACCTACTGAATGGGAGAAGAATTTGCAACTCATCTGATAAGGGGTTAATATACAAAATATACATATAAAGAACTCATATGGAATATAACTCAATAGCAAAGAACAAATAATCCAATTTAAAAATGGGCAGATGATCTGAATAGACATTTTCCAAAGAAGACATACATAACACATACATGAAATGCTCAGCATCACTGATCATCAGGGAAATACAAATCAAAACCACAATGAGATATCACCTCACACCTGTTAGAGTGGCTATCATCAAAATGTGAACAGATAAGTGTTGCAAGGATGTGGAGAAAAGGGAACCCTTGTGCACTGTTAGACATGTTAAATTGGTGCCACCACTACAGAAAACAGTATGAAGGTTCCTCAGAAAATTAAAATTAGAACTACCACATGATCCAGCAATTGCACTTCTGGGTATTAATCTGAAGAAAACAAAAACACCTACTCAAAAAGATATATGAACCCCATGTTCATTGCAGCATTATTCACAATAGTCAAGATACAGAAACAATCTAAGTGTCCACTGATGAATGAACGGGTAAAGAAAATGTGGTACACACACACACTGGAATATTGTACAGTCATAAAAAAGAAGGAAATTCTGGCTTTTGTGACAACATGGATGGACCTTGAAGACACTATGCTAAGTGAAAAAAGTCAAGCAGAGGAAGGCAAATATTGCCTGATCTCACTTATATGTGGAATCTAAAAAAAGAAAACAAAACCCAAGTCACAGATACAGAGAATCAACTGGTGATTGCCAGAGGTGGGAGAGGAGTTGGGGTTGGAGGAATGTTGGCAACATTTTTGAAGGGTGCCAAAAGGTGCAAATACAGGCCCTGGGCAGGTTGGTTAGAGTTTCAGTTGGTTAGAGCATCCTCCTGATATGCCAAAGTTGCAGGTTTGATCTCCAGTCAGGGCACATACAAGAATCAACCAATGGATGCATAAATAAGTGGAACAACAAATCGATATGTTTTCTCTCTCTCTCTTCCTTCCTTTCTCTCTCAAATCAATAAATAAGAAAAAAATATAAAAGAAATAAGTCCTGGAGATGTAATGTACAACATGGTGACTATAATTATAACTGTATTGCGTATCTGAAAGTTGTTAAGGGAGTAAATCTTAAAAGTTCTCATCACAAGAAAAAATACTCTATAATTATGTACGGTGATGGATGCTAGCTGGACTTACTGTGGTGATCATTTCACAATATATACAATAACAAATCATCATGTTATATACCTGAAACTAATATAATGTATGTCAACTATACCTCAATAAAAAAATTTAAAAAATTAAAATACCAGGTTCAAAATTATTTTTTTAAACCATGTTATTAAAGTAGATTTTTGTGAATGAAAAATAGCATGAAGCCTACCTTAAAACCTGTGAGACAGGGAAGGCCAGTCTGCATGGACTTCTAGGTGTTCAGATCAGATACCTGGTTTCTCTGCTGAAATGGGTGTCCTCTCTCTTATGAACTACTGTGTGGATAGCTTCTGAAATCAAATGTGTTAGAAAACAATATTCTATTGAACCTTTCTCATTGTCTCTACACTGTGGTTCTAGTAGAGTGATCTTTATTCTTACAGGATTGCCAGGTAATGGGATAGAGTTTTAGACAGACATGGATACAGTATTTGAAGTACACAGAGAAAAGTGTGTGTGTGTGTGTGTGTGGTGGTGGTGGGGTACTACAGAGTGGCATTACCTTAGGCATCCGGTGACATTGTAGAATGTATCAAAATCGAGCAAACCATTCGCTTTGGGGTAGTCTCCTTCTGGCCACCCCGAAAAGGGGATGATGATATTCTCAGTCAGGATAAGCAAGGCTTCTGTTATCATGAGATTCTTGAGTTTGTCACTAGAGGACAAATTCCACAGCAAACCTAGAATCAAAACGGTGCAGGGTTGGGTCAAAAGGATTGCTGAAAAGGTCCGTTAAGGCCATCACCCCTAGGGCTAGGGCTAGTTATAAATCAAAAGGGTGGGGCTGGGGAGACAGTCCCTTTTCCAACTGAAAAAAAATTATTTAGAGCTAACTGGATGGCAATGGAAGCTGATCCATAAGAGCAATTTAAAATATATATATATAACTATTCAGGTTTAAATTCATCAGGAATGTGAATAAAAGCCAGAAATCCTTAAACATTTCTTGCTGTTTTTCTTAAGACCCTATCATAAAGCTGAGTTAAGATAATAAACTCTGAGCTTACCAAGAGGGAGGCTTGAAATGATCCTATTGTAACTGACTTCAACATTTTAAAGGGTCCTACGTTTCTCCCTTAGATGCATGGAGAGAATACTTCTCTCTGCCTCCTGCTCCCCACTACCTGCAACTTCCACCTCACATTTGCCTCCCAATAATCGCAGGAAGGGCCTGCAGAAAGCCTCCAACTATGCTGTGCCTGTCGACAGTAGACTGATCAACATCACCAATTACTATTTATTGGCTCCTACCCAATGACAGATTGTATGCCCCCTGGAATTCATGCTGCTTACCTCATGTATTTTTTTACATTATAGTTTGGCAGTGAAGGAGAGACAAGAGTATTTTACCTATCTGCCAACATGCATGGCCTAAGCGTTGGTCTAAGACTGGTACCACATTTATTCATTTAACTTTCTCTTTCCTCTTGGACTTCCCCACCCCACCCCTATTCAAAAGAAAGGCCATATAAACCAACTCAGGGAAAAAAATCAAGATAATAGGATACTGTACTTTCCAAGCATTTGTGAGACAGAGTAACGCTGGACACTGAGAAAGAATACAAAATGGTATATACATTTAGGATTTGTTTTTCTTACAAAATTTTACAACTACTTCTGTTTCAGTGGAAGGACTATGCACCTACTGCTTGCTACTCCAGTGACTCTGAGCAGGTATAAAGTTGCCTCGTCATCTGTCATACTTCAGCAAGTTTCTCTAACTCACTAGCATCCAGGAAAGGATAAAGTGTGGGAACATACAGAGAAGGGGGTCTTCATTTTCTTCCCCATTCACTCTCCCACTGCCTAGTCACTAACTCCCATGGGTTAAACTAACCACCTTGTCTGTATGAAGGTAAGAGGGAGCACAGGTACACGGGACGGTCTACTTTATGAAAAAAGCACACGTGGTGGTCTTGGCTGAATTATGTGGTGACATCATCTCCTCTAACTTTAATGACTGAAATAAGAGTCTGTACAGTTAAAGCTTGGTAATTATTCAACCATACTTGTATTTGGCTCATCAATTAGAACATGCCAGGTAGGCTTAGTGAAGTCTTCTGTGTTTAAACAATTTACTTTGGCTGTGTACAAGTGACTAATTTCTAAAACAATAACCATATTTCCACTGCAGCCTACACTTAGCTTCCATTAGATACAATGACACTGGGTCTTGTAAAGACTAGAATTCTGGCTGATGAGGAGGTCTCTTCCTGATCAAACTAGCATTTGGGGTTAGTCATCCCCAGTGTCCCTGAGCCACAGGTTTTGTAACACAATGACTTCATTCCTCCCACTTCATCTTAAAGAGGCCCTGGAAGCAGGAGAGACAGAATAAATCCCAAGGGTGGTTGGAAACAATTAAAGGCAGGTCTGAGGTTGAGTTTTGGTTACTAAGATACAAAAGTAAGTTAAAAAAAGAAAAGGGGAAAAAAGTTTCCTATTCTAAATAAGCAAACAATTAAGAGTCTCTGCCTGTGGTGATGGAAGGAGACTTGACTTGGGGTCGTAAACACACAATATACAGATGATGTATTATAGAATTGTACACGTGAAACCTATTTAATTTTATTAACCAATGTCACCCCAATAAATTTTAAAAAGAGTCTCTGCCTGCTAGAGGCTTAAAAATGTGAAGCATAATATTCCCCTTTTTATAAAGGACCACACAGGGCACTCAAAGAGGAAGTACACCTTACAATAAAAACCAGAGAAGATTAATTTGAACAAAGGGAGTGGAATTTTCTTTCAATAGTCAATGTCCTTTGTAGCTTGACATGCAATTATTATTTCTACATTATTTCCATGGTTTTAGGATACATAATTTTTAATTAGGATATTGTATAGAAATGTCATGCCTGCCAAATTTCTATATGGCATGAAGCTAGGAAAGAGCTTAAGTGTTCACTAGAGATGCAAGATTATATATACACACTGTCATACATGTACACACAAAATCAATAAATGACCAATTACAAATTGGGCAAATATGTATGACAATATAAGACAAAGCATTAATACTCTTAATATACAGAGTTCTTATAAATTATTAAAATTCAATGACTAGTAGGAAAATTAACCCAAAGCTAAATGATATTAAAGTCTAATATATATACATGTTCTCCTGTAACTAAAAAAATGCAAATTTAACAGCTAGATATCATTTTCTGTGACTATAGCAGGCAAAACCAGAACCAACGAGTGGAAATTCTTGGGAAGATTTTGGCTCACTGAAAGTACAACCTTCTAACAGAGCACTGAAGAAAAGAGAAAGATCTGCTTGTAAGTTCCAGCTCTATCTCAGGAGCTGATAAAAATGAACTCATCTTTTACCAAAATATCAACAAGAGGATTTTATTCTAAAACCAGGGTTTTAGAATAGACTAGCAGTTTTCAAATGAGCCCAGTGGCAAATCAGAACCACATATTCCTGGGTGACAACCTCAAACTGAGCCAGAATGTCAGGATGAATTCTAGGAACTCATATCTTAAAAGTGATTCCCATTTCTAGTATTGTAAAACTAGTGGACGAGGTGACCCTGAATACATATCCTGTTCAATGATCTGAGCAAGACTCTCTGATACAATATTTAGAGTTTAGGTTTTCACTTGTCTTACCTTTAACTTCTGGGCAATTTATTCATAGTTCCTAAATTTCAATTATTATAGTTCTTTGTTGTAGCTGGTCTGCCTGTAATTTTCTGTCACTAAGCTCTCATTCTAATAAAAAAGGGAGGGACCTGGATTCTAGTAAGAGACATACTTTGAATAGTTAGCAATAATGGTAACTGTATTATCTGGAAATTTATTGCCAACTGTGATATTTGCAAAAAATAGTAACTAGTAAAGGGATCATACAGATACTAAAATCCATATTTTATTAATAATGTCCTCTAGGGCTGGAAGTATAGTTATTTAACTAAGTCTGCATGACACTGAGGTAGCAAAACTTGCAAATTTTTTGATTAAATGAATACTTATCTTCAGGGCAGGAGAAGGAGAACTGGGGTTATTAACCTTGTTTTTCAAAGTGGTCACAGAGCATGAGGGTTTTTTTTGTGTTATTTTTTTTTCAACAATCTCCTTTGCATGGATATACTACTCTTTTTACCTAAATTTTATAAATTTTACCTGAAATATCACATTATCACAAGGCCATTTATTCCAAGTTATAAATAAACCCAAGGTATCTTGTTGCACATTACAAATGCAGAAAAAAATAATATACAATTATTTAAAGAAGGTGCACAATGAATATTTTATAGCAAAATGTTTTGATACTTTATGAAAATACAGTAACCCAATTAAATAGTTCCATAAAATAAGAAGAGGTTAAAATAAATTTGTAGCAAACTTCATTGACAGCCATCCCCTGACTCTTCTTATGCAATATGCAAAGAGAGACAAGACGCCCTTGCTTCATTCACATCACCTGTCTGTTTTAATCCAAGGCAGAGCTCTACACACCACAGCCTGTGCTCATTACTCAGTGACCTTAAAGATGAATCTCAGCCTAGTATGTACTGTTCTCATGTCAAAGTACACCAACACACTCACTGATAAGGGGGAACATTCTCATGGGGGAAATTCTTTGATCCTGAAGTCTTTTTGTGTTTTCATTGAAAGAGGGAAGAGCTTCCCTCCTAGACTGGTACAGAAGATGCCAGAAAGGTCAGCGAGTTGACACTCTCTACAGTGAACAAAGCTCAGATGCTAAATTTCTTTTAATAACTGGGTCAGAAAAATTAAGGTCTTATCTGCAAACACACATGATTCTCCTATTTATGTATAATCTAAATATTCCCAGGCCACAAGTCTCTTTTTAAATATTTGGTCAGACATCCACAGTTGCTGAGAAACTTACGTGAGCACCACAGTTGTTACTGCAATAAACAGACAGGCATGAAGTGAGTGGCAACCTAATATTAAAAGAGGCAAAGGTAGTTCAGAGAAGCCCCTCCTTCAAAGTCAAGGTGGAGGGGTTGGAGGCAGACAGAGGGACAACATTTGAAAATACTCCAGAGAAGTGATATTTGAGACAGCTATTGAAGGACAAGAGGTTTCAGGTGTGGAAGAAGATGCTGGTCCATGACAGCAGTGACAAAGACATTGAGGCAGGAAGGAAACATGGAATAGACAGGCAGATCCTTTAGCACTGCAGAACCTGGGATGGAAGGGTATGAGAGGAAACACTGCTACCGATGCTCATGAGGCTCAGATTGCACAATCTTTGTGTGGCATGCTACAGAGTGCAGGCTTTATCTCATAGGTAATAGGGAGCATAATGAGACTCTATTTTCATTTTAGAAAGAAATCACTAACAGAGTGATGGGTAGACTGGGAATATGTGATACTGAATCACAGAGGCCAGGTACAAGGCTACGCAAGAGCAGAACAGAGAGAGGAAAAGGGCTTGAACCCAGGCAGTGACAAGAGGAGAGAGGGAGGGTCAAAAAGGACTGAGGGAGAGCTCTCTGATCTGAGATTCTCAAAGACAAGCTCCTTCCCAAGACCAGTAAAAATGAGTCACCCTGTACCCCCACCCAAGCTATAGGTGGGAGCCACTTTGATAGAGCAAAACACCCAGATAAAACTGGGTTTGAATCTGGACTTTGTTCTTTACTGCGTAATCTTGGGCAATTTACTTAATCCCCCTGAACCTCACACTGATCACAGGTAAATCATCAATAATGCCTTATGGAGCCATCAGGAGGAACAGAGATGAAAAATGAAAAGTCCGAGCTTTGTGACTAGCACATAATAGGGGCTTCATAAAAAGATGTTTATGAGATAGACAAGAAGAGATTCACATACATGGTTACACACTTTGGTTTCTAAACAAAGATATAAACATGTCTATTTTAGTCAACAAGTATTTCTGAGGCCAGGAAAATACTTATTTAACTTTTCTATTAATAGAGCTAAAGGAAGTTTTTTAGAAGGATTTGTATCAAACATTCAAGTATCAACTCATTTCAATTAATGTGTAATGAACACCCTCTGGTAGGAATGTTTGGCTTGTCCTAGAAATCCTGGGACTTGCACAAGCAACCTCCATTTATCAGCTCTGTTGATGATCTAAAGATGACTGAATGGCTTCCATGGCATCAATTTCACAGAATGTTCTCTGACCTCAGTTTCCTATTGCCTATACAAAAGAAGAGGAAGCCTGGTTCAATGATTACTTCCTTGATACACACCCACACATCCTCCCAAGCTTTCTAAGCAATCTCCGTACCTTAACCTCAATCACTCTTATCCAAGCTTCCTCTAAATGACCAGCAGCTTCTTTGCTTTGCTAGTAGTGATGTTCACTTTGCTGGGAATAACCTTCATTCTCCTTTAAAACCCCAGTCCAAAGCCTACCCCTTGTTTAATGTCCACAATGAAACATACCTCCTTCATGAAGCCTTTTTTTAAATTGTAAAACAAGATAATCTGATTCTCTCTCGTGGTTCATTACTATATTTTAATGAAGAAAATGTTAGGTTTTAAATGTGAGGGTTTTTTTTTTTAATGCTATCCATTACATAATTGTTCATGTTTTAGTAGCTAGAAAATAAAATCCACAACCTGTCGAGTATGATTTTCACTCCCTGGCACTTGTAGGCTGCCCTGTAAATGTTGGCTGAATGAAGGAGTGAGATCACTCTTAATTTCTGTAGGCATTTTAATATGACTCATAAATATGAAAGGAACTATCTCATGGGACATTATAGAATGCTGGCAGGAGGGTAGCATGGTATGAATCTTTATAGTTTTATAAAATTAAAATATATCGCCCGGCCGGGCATGGCTCAGCGGTTGAGCGTCGACCTAGGATCCAGGTGATCGGGGTTCGATTCCCGGTCAGGGCACATGCCCAGGTTGTGGGCTGCAGCTGATCAATGACTCTCTCATCATTGATGTTTCTATCCCTCTCTCTCCCTCTCCTTTCCTCTCTCTGAAATCAATAAAGATATATTTTAAAAAAAATAAAAAAAAAATCAAGATGAAAAAATGTATTTTAAGATACAAATGAGTAGAGAGGATATAACATTTTTATAGAAAAAAAGAAAGCTGTTATAAAGTGAGGATGGCATAAGCACAATATATTCAATTTAAAACTGTATCTATGGCCTGGCCAGCGTGGCTCAGCCGTTGAGCATTGACCTAGGATCCAGGAGATTGTGGTTCAATTCCCAGTCAGGGCACATGCCCAGGCTGCGTGCTTGATCCCCAGTAGGGGGTGTGCAGGAGGCAGTGATCAATGACTCATCATTGATGTTTCTATCTCTCTCCCTCTCCATTCCTCTCTCTGAAATCAAGACAGGCATATTTTAAAACAAGCAAACCCCCCCACAAAAAACCATATTTATGAAGTACTTCCTTTTTAAATAAGAACACTGTCAACTATTACCATTAAAAAATAGTTTACATATTAAAAGGGTTAACTTCTTTGGGTCTTAGTTTCCTCATCTGTAAAATTGAGATTTAATACTCAATAACACCTAAAAATGCCTCAAAACCTAAGCCTTTCCTTATAATTTTTAAAATGTAAGTGTATCATCTGGGACACTTACGATAGTTCAAGGCAATACTGCTTGCTGATGACTGCACTCAGTGATGCTTCCTGCCCTCTAATGTGCGCAGAGAGCTTCAGCAGAGCTGTGATGATGGCAGGGAGGGTGTGCCTGAACATCAACGAACCATTTTCTCCTGTACCACACGCACTACTAATTTAAATGAAACTAGGCCTCCCTCTCCATACTTCAAGGATTACTAAAATTACTGTTGCTTTAGTCTATTTGTTTAGTTCATATTCTTCATCCACTGCATAGAAGGGGGAGATAGTTATTTGTTCAAATCAGTATTTGAACATAAATATGAATTACAGAATTGAAAAAACATACCCAGCCACTCTTTTCTTTCTCTCTTTTTTTGGGTTGGAGGGATAGGTGGGCTAGGGAGCTGGTATTTTGAGGGGTTCAGGTGATGGAAGGACTGGGAAATACAGTTACTAGTATTTTGACTAGTTTGATTAAATCGATCCTCTACATTTGACTCCCCTATTTACTTTCTCTGCATAGATTTAGTGAATACAGTGTTTAGTAAATAATAAAAAGAACTGAGTGTGGCTCTTGTTGCATTTCTTCAGAATGTTTTGGACACTGTGGACAATACTGAAACCCCAGGCATTCTCAAACTACAATGTTGACTGTTAGAGAATTTATGTAGAATTTTCAGGCCAGGAGTCTTGTCAAGAAGCTTTTTTAAAGACATGTGGTCAAAGGTGCATAGTTTCTAATTAAAAATAGTGGGCAAAAGCCTGAGAATAATTTCCCCTTCAGAAGAAAAGGAATTCAAATTTGACTTGAACCTGGGGTCTTAGCCAGCAGGTGACAATGTTCCTTGAAAGCCATCTGTCAAATAACAATGAGCCCATCAATCATTTGTTCCAGGAAAGTTAAGAAAAAGAGACGACATCACATATCCATCTGGGGTGCACCATGTACACCCTTTAATATGCAATAAGAGCTACCTGTTATTTGTTTTTTAGTCTCCAAGTCTCTGGTTTGCTTCAGCACCTGTAGCAGCCGAGGCACCCCATTGAGTTCAGCTACCTCCAATTTGTTGTCATTGTCTTCAAACACCAAGTTTCTCAAGGCCCCACAAGCGGCTCTCTGAACATCTTCATTCTGAAATTTCAGGAGGTGCAGAAGCCTGGGGATGCCTTGAAGCTGATAGACCTGGGGAAGAAATGCATGCACATTTCAGATACTGTATATATTTATTAATTATGATGTGGCATTAAAGACATTCAATGAAATGTGAATGAACAGATGAAGTTGATTATAACTCCCATCAATCAACAACTATGTGTGGCACAACCTGAGACTCATGGTGTACAATGTACTCCTGCTAGAAGTATCTCTCATTGAGGAGCTTACAGTACATTAGGGAAGTTAAAACAAACACCTATGAAAAAATGAAGGGGAAATTAAGTGATAAAGGGTGAATAAATGACAGCTAAGTGGATGGAAAGAATTAAGTGATAAAAGCCTTGAGCATAATAAAGATGAAGAGAACTGGGAATTTGAGGAGGAAGGAAAGTTTTATGGAAGAACACCACATTGCATGAGTTTTTTTCCTAGGACAGAACTTTTTTTAAATTTAGTTTTATTTTTTTCCAATCACCATTTATCCCCTCTATGCCCTCTTCTACCTCTACCTATCCCCCTCCACCCCAACAATTACCACCTTGTCCATGAGTTCTCTCTCTCTTTTTTTTTCCCTCAGTCTCTCTATCCCTTAACGCCCCCAACAGCCCTCCTCCCAGCCAGAGCTGCTGTCTGCCTACTCTTTATCTACGAGTCTGCCTCTGTTTTGCTTGGTAGTTCAGTTTGTTCCATTAGATTCCACATATGAGTGAAATCATATGGTCCTCGTCTTTCTCTGACTGGCTTATTTCACTTAGCATAATGCTCTCCAGGTCCATCCGTGCTGTCACAAAGGGTAAAACTTTCTTTCTAGGACAGAACTTTACAGTCAATATAAACTGAACAGAAATCACCTTCCTCAATGGTAATAATAAAAATGCATTTACCATGGCAACCATAGTAGCAATATAAACTTTTAAAGAATTTATATAAATTATTCAAGCATTTTAATTTAAGTAAATAACATAACTTTACACTTTTTAATGTGCTACTTAAAAAATATTTCTATGCAAGAGACAGCATGCTGTCTATTAGAAAAAGGGCTAGCCCAGCCAGTGTGGCTCAGCGGTTGAGCATCGACCTAGGATCCAGGAGATTGCGGTTCAATTACCAGTCAGGGCACATGCCCAGGTTGCGGGCTTGTTCCCCAGTGGGGGGCGTACAGGAGGCAGCCAATCAATGACTCTCTCTCATCACTGATCTATCTCTCTCCCTTTCTCTTCCTCTCTGAAATCAATAAAGATATATTTAAAAAAAAGAAAGAAAGAAAAAGGGCCAGAACTAAGAATAAGAAGAAAAAGAGAAGGTTTAGATTCCAAAACTTAGGGCTTCTTGAGAAGAGGTCAAGCAATGGCAGTCTGAGCAAGGCAATTTTGTGGTTTAGGCTGCAAATACTATCTAAAGAAACCAAGAGGTGGACACAGGGTTGCTGCAGAGAAACATTAAGTTGAAGACTAAGGGTTTTCTTTTTGATAGGCTTCCATTAGCATCCGATTTAAAAATTTTTAAATTGTTAAGAACTTTAGGTAAAAATCTCAGTCATTTTCACCATCTTAATGCAGAAATTTTTAGGAAATAAGTTGTAAATGGGCATGAGTTTCCCTTTCAGATGAAGTTCATCACCTCGTTACACAGCAGTTCATGCTCGGGGAGAGCTGCACACCCAGCCCAGCAGCATGCTTTAACATTTTCTATGTTTCATCAAACTCTAGTCTCCCTTCCACAGACAGATAGATATTATTTAAGACTCAGTCTTTCAACTTCACATCTTCCTTTGTTAAAATTGGGGAGAAGACTAGACAAGCAGGAATGAAAGTGAAGATTGTAAAATAATCTAAAAAATAACCACAATAATAATAAAACAAAAATAAAAACTCCTCCAACTTCCATCATTAGGCAGTGTCAGCATAGTGTTAAGAGGTTTATATACATTCTCCAATCTATAGCTTGCTAGAACCTCCAGAGGAAAGTACTCTTTTGGTCCCTAAGGCCCCACTGGTGGTAATGAGGAGTAATACTTCCACTTACTGACCCCCTTTCAGGAGACATTTGCAGAATGGGAGAGAACTGGAAGAGGGACCAGAGCAATTTTGATAGGCGATGTCTAGAGCCATTCTAATATATTTGTATGACAATGCTAATGATAAAGATTTCATTTCATAGCTATCAGTGAAACCTGGTCTAACAGATCATCTATTTGATCACTTCATTTAGTCCCATTATTACATTTCATTAAAAGCAGAAAGGCACAGTTTATTTAAAACAGCCTTTAACTCACATTTCCCTAATTCCATCAAATTCATTTCATAGTTGGGGTTTTGAGGTGGGTCACTCCATAAACATCATAAATGCTAGCTAACTCTTCACAATAGCAGCATAAACATCAGGTGCAAAAAGAAAATCCTATTTGTCCTAAAGGTACTTTGGCAGCTTTGAAATATTACCTAATTTTTAATTTATAAACTGCCTGCTTCCAAATAAGATGTGAAGTGGTTTACTGACCATACTGCATTTCCAGCGGTGACAATAGCATTAGTGAGAAGTGGCCCATGGAAACCTCCTGGCCCTGGCAGGCTTCTGTTTAACAGCCTCTGACCCATTCTCTTAACCAGCCACCTCGATCCCCTTGGCTTTCAGCACCTGCAGACACACCACGCTCAGATAAATGCTGAAATCCGACTACAGCTCTACTTTAATATAGGATTTGACTCCCTAGTGTCTGGCACCTATCCCACATTTAAAAATAGAATTTAGTTACTTTTATCCTTTATGAAGCAAATTGATATAAATCATATGAAATGCACGAAACTGATGACATTCACTCATCGCATAGAACTAGAAGGACACTGGTAATGAATCCTGTACCGATTAGGACTCATGTTACATGTACTGTTCTTGCTCCTTTAAATTCAGGGCAGCAGCTGGAACCAGAGAGGTTACATCTGTTTCCAAGTTATTCTAAATCCTCTGGGGATTTGTTCTCCCTTTGGGGCAAGGAAAAAGAAACAGACTAACATAAATGTCTCAGAACTTCAAAGGAGCTTTCATTTGAGATGGTTTCTAAATATCTGGAAGGGCAAAGCCACATTAGAATTTTAACTTTCTCTTTTGACTCTATTCCGATTCTCTTCCCTGCCAACCCTAAAGTAATTAAATGATCAAGATTTCTGGTGGCAAATCTGCAAAGGAAACAGACTGCCTCTGTCGGGGTAAGGGCTCCCTCGTGCCCCGTGCCCTGGTGCCTTTGCTCTCACTTCCTTTCCTGTTGGGAATGCTAGGTCCCCTCTGCCTCTCTTTGGCGCCAGCTCAAATGTCACCTCCTCTGTGAAATGTCACTCCCTTTCTCTTCTTTCTGTCCCCTTAGAATTAATCACTCCCTATAAATTGGTGCTATAACCTTTCAGGAAGGTAAGTGGCAATTTATGGCAAATAGTAAAAATATTCTATTCTAGAAATCTTAGTTAGAAAACAATTTGAAATGCAGACACCGACAAATGCACTAATGATAGTAACCATATTATTTATAATAGTGAAAAGAAAGCATAAATGTCCAACAATGGGGGAAGACTGGTTAATGATTAATTGTCACATATCCAAACGTTGAGGTATCCACGGGAGAGGCAGAACAATGTTTGAACTGGCAGGTATTTTATTAGTCACACAGTTGCCTCATCCGTCAAAAGGGGACTGTGTAAGATTAGCAACTGTGTGCTAGGCAATGCAGCAGTCACTCAACACGTGGTAGCCACTACTATCACCATTAATACGCCACCATTAAAATCCCTACAAACTATAATGGGAAAATGCTTATGGTATAATGTTATTGGGAAAAGCTGTATAAAATATCTGCATTTCTACTCATAAACAGACATAAAGAAGGGAATGAGATTAGAGGATCTTGGAGAAATGGTGAGGGTATAAATTATGAATGGGGCTTGCTACTTTGTATGTTTTTAAACAGCAAACATATATTTGTCCGTAGTTTTAAAAATCAAAACAAAAAATCCCCACAAAGTCCCATATTCAATTTGGTTACAGCTATGTACATACAGGGTTTGGCAAAAGTAGGTTTATAGTTGTGAGTACATGAAACACAGAGTATTATTTTTTATTAATTTTTGTATTTTTTTCCCATACGGACAACTGTAAGCCTGCTTTTGCCCTACCCTGTATGTACATTAAAAATCAGAGAACAAAACCAAAATGATAACAATAGTGAGACCATGGGTATGTTTTCTCTTTTTTCTTTCTTAATTTCTCAGAGTGAATTTGTATTAGTCTTATAATAAGATTTTATGAAACAGTTATGGGAGTCACTGCTTCTGTGATGAGCTCTGAAGCTGGCATAAAAATAAAACCAGCTTAAGAAGGGTCTTGCAGATTAAATTGAGGAATCTGTTCTTTATCTTGCAGACAAGCAGGCAGCTATTAGAAGATCTCCTGGGTGCTGTGAGGAGAATGGATTAGGAACGGATAAGAATGGAGGAAGGGAGATTAATTAAGAGGCAGCTGGATTAACAGAGACGCTGGTGAGAGGGATGAGCTGTACCGCCACCTGGGTGAACTATCACTCACTTACAGAGGAAATAATCCTCTCTGAGTTATTATTCCGGGGCAGGCATTGCACCATGATCTGACTGCATTCTCACAACAACTCTTCATAGTAGGACTATTATTTCTACTTTATAGGTGGCAAAGCTGAGGCTTAGAGAGGCCAAATATCTTGCTTGAGGTCACCCAGGTAATTAGGATGCTGGGATTCAAACCCATCCCTGAGCGACTCCTGAGCAAATCCTCAAACCACAAGTGTCCTACCTCAACCAGGCAGGAAGAACAAGGTTAGGAGGAGGGCTGGATAATGGAAAAGAAAAATATCATGTGTTCATTTTTTGATAAGTTGGTGTTGAGTTTAGTGGGAAGTCTAGGAAATAGACAGGCATGTGGTTTGGAACCCAGGGAAGAGATACGGGCTGGAGATGTTCTGAGTCATCAGCATCTAGATCACATTACTGGAAGCCATGGAAGTGGATGACCAAGGTAAAAAAAAGATGATGCTGAATAAGAAAAGTCCCAGAAGACATCTAAGGAATATTTAAGGGACAGCTCAAGCATATATTTTTCACGAAACCTAAAGGAGCCAGAGAGATGGAAAAAGAACCGAGAGACTCTGGACCAAAGAAAGAAAGTTTCAAAAAGGAGAGAGTGATGGATGGTCTTAAATGCTGGGTCCTAATCACATAAATTAAGAACTGAAAAGCTGTCACTGGTTTTGAAAGTTATGACTTAAAATTTTGATCCTTATGTCCACATTGTAATTGTCTTTTATGCATAAATTTAAAAACTATAGCATCATGCTTAATATTAGCAGTATTTTATTTATGTTCTTGGGTTCTAACATCACAATTCTTAGATTTTTCTACAAAGCATATGTTTTTAGTTTCCAATATAGTTTTCACGTTTCATTATTCTCAGAATTGGTCTTTGTTCTAGCCTTAACACAGAATAAGAGTTAAGAAGGCAAGCATAGCTTTAATTCCATATTTAAGCAAAATAATATTGTAATCAAATTAGTAATTTAAAAGATAGGGGAAATCGCCCTGGCCAGTGTGGCTCACTTGGTTGGGTGTCGTCCCATGCATGCGCTGAAAGGTTGCCAGTTCAATTCCCAGTCAGGGCACATGCCTGGGTTTCAGGCTTGATCTCCAGTGGGGAGCGGGTGGAAGGCAGCCAGTCGATGTTTCACTCTTGCATCGATATCTCTCTCTCCTCCTCTCCCTTCCTTTCTCTCTAAAAATCAATAAAATAATAATAATAAAAGAGATAGGGGAAATCTACCCTAACTTGGATAACAAAAGAAAACCCAAGTAATTCCATACTATCAAATGAAAGTACATAAAATAATGCCCAGTTTTTAAAGATGGGGAATAAAAAAGCCTTAAACATTTACCTGAGTTAGCCATAAAAAGGACTAGTGTTTAGCCCAATTTTTCTGCAAATTACCACCACCAACTTTCTGGCCATGTAAGAAGCCATCTGGGAAGCAGATCCTGCAGCCCCACTCAAGCCTTTAGACAACAGCAGTCCTAGCCAAAAATCCTGACCAATCTCATGAGTGAACTGGAGTGAGAAGGGCTCTTATCTCACTTGACTTACCTGATGTGCAGAACTAGCCACATTTTCTTTCCCCTTTGTGAAATCTATTGATTCCCAGAGTGAGTAATATCAAAGCTGGTAGGTTACTCTATGTTGGGCTTTGCACTCCTACTTCTACTAGTTGAGTTACATATTTAACAAGAATAACTTAGGTTTGTTTCCCAATGTATTTGTGTGAACTGTGACGATTATTGTAACAATGCAATTTGTTTACCTATCCTGAAAATGAATGAAATATAAGTATGAAGAGTTCTCTCTGAAAACTAATCTGAATGCTCTGTAAAGACTAAATAAAGGTGAAGAACTTTAAAAAGCTCTGCAATTATTTGTAGAAAAAATTAATGTAAAAGACTAGAGAATATGTAAAAATCTAGAAGAATATGAGCTCGTATGAATTAGTGCCATTAAGTTCTTATTTCACTTTAAAGAAACTAAAAATGGCAGATAATACATAAAGGGCATAGTTTATGTAAGAAAGATGATGACAAACTCTGTGTGTATGTATATAACTTAAAAAAAGATTTTTCTCTGTAACCCTGTTTGATTAACTGACCAAACTATTAGTCTTGATTTTAAAAAATAGTAAAATTTCTACTACACAGAGATGCCTTTTTTTGTTTTGTTTGTCAGAGTAACAAAAAGCAAACAAAAATAATAATATCATGTGGTGGTAATGGTTCACAATGTTGGCAGGAGTGTAAATTTGTACCATTTGAGGGAGGAGTTATTAGGGAGTTACTTATCAAAATTACAAATGACTCAATAGTAAAAAGAACTGAATTTACCTACTGGCTGAAATAATTTTAAAAACCAGACAAAACATACAGCGGTTTCAATAATTGGACATTATATATATATAACATATATATGAATATACATGTCAAAATTTTGTCACATTGTACCTTAATAAAGGTATTTTAAAAATGAACAAACAAAACTGGTACATTTATACAACAGAAATCTATGTAGTTGTAAAAAATAAAGTAGGGCTAATATATAATGAAGGTTTCCAAGATATTAAATGAAAACAAACTACAGAGTACTGTAAATAATCTGCTACCATTTGTGATTTTGTTTTAAACAAAAAATGATACTCAACCAACCCATCCAATAATTGTTTCTATATGCATGGAGTATCTCTGGAAAGATACCCAGAAATTAATGAGAGAGAGAGAC